ATGAACTTGATCGATAAATCCCTACTTTGGCAATGCTATTTATCGATCAAGGTCGTTCAATAACGATTTAACAATCAGTGGTGTGGCGTGCTTTGCGTAGAACGTATTTTATCGGAGGAAATTTGGCAATGTTCAAAGGTTTATACGACGTTCTTCTTCAGCTCGACAGAGCCGAAGACCCGCAAGGGTGCAAATTTTCAAAAGCGGAAATTGTCAATCTGCACTTTGGGGTGGTGGCTATTTTCCGCAAACGATACGATGGTGTCAAGGAGGCAGAGGGGTTATGTAACACAAGCTTAGGTTAGGTTGGATTGGTTTCCACGTTTGCGCTTCTGGATGACTACTTGTGTTTAAAATGTGCGCATTTGGTCTGTGCATTTTTGCGATTATTTCCAACGGCTTTTGCGTCTAAACTGAGCTAGAAACTGTAATTCCCAATCGCAAAATGTGGTCCAGTTTTGCATTTAAAATCTTGAGAGCATCAGGAAGGAATTTCTAACGTGGTAAAAATACTGATAATTGTCAGAAACAGTTGTGTTATACCCCAAAATGCCACTCATTAGTTGGAACTTTTTACTTTCTCGCTATTCTTGCGGGTAGAGCAAGGACTGTCATCCAAAAAAAAAAAAAAATAATAAAATAAAAAATTAAATTTCATAATTTTTAGGCGCTTTACGGAGCGCGGAGTAAAAAAAAAAAACATACTTGAAAAAATGTGTGTCCGTCCGTCCGCTATCCGCTAATATCTTTGTACAATCATATTTCAAAACGGTGCGGGAATGCCTCGGGAATTTGCGCTTTTAGATAGTAACCGGCAGAACACCTATTCTGCCGTGCTAAGGAAGAACGCCGTATGAAAATTCGATAGTAGCCAAATTTCCCTGGATGAAACTTGTATTTTTCACCGCATTCATGCATATTTTTCTTTGAAATTTTCAGATGTTTTAGATTAAATTGCGTGCAAAATTGGCTGAAAATTTTGGAAAATAATATTCGCAATTTTCCCAGTAAATTCGGTTTTCATCAAAGGAAATTTGGCAACGCCTGAAGGTTCATACGGCGTTCATCCATAGCACGGCAGTATTTCAAACCTGGGAAATTCAAGCATTGGCAGTCTCTTTGTTTCCGTGACGTTTCGCTTCATCCGAACTGACAACTCCGTAACTGAGTTGAACCGAAAAGAGAGATTCCCGGGATGGTTTATCGTTAAGCCAGCTCTCAACAAGTAGTGGTGACTAACGCTTCCCTCTTTTTTCCCGACCGTTCCAGCCCTCGGAATTCCAGCCGGGGAAACGAAACAATCTGGATCCGAAGTTGCATTGTGCTCATCCGTCGCGAGCGCGTCGTCCCAAATGTTTATCCGTTCGTTGATTTTCTCGGCGAGGCTCCCAGCTCCCAGGTCCGAGAAGGGGAGGCGAGCTTTTAAGCTCCTTTTGTGGAGATCGCCGGAAATAAAACTGTCGCCGCGTCCCCCCCCGCTCCCGGCAAAATAGGAGCTCGAATCGTAACCCGAACGACCGTCTCCCAAGAAGTAGCCTCTCCAGTTTGTTTATTAGGTTGTTGATGTTTGGCGGTATTGCCAAAGGATCGGTGTAGGTAAAATCAGGTCAATGGGCCGATCGATTGGGTGAGAGTCAAGCGTCTTCGATACACGTTTTCATATTGAAATTTTGCCTAGAATAAAGCGGACCTATCGCTTGAATTTATTAATGATCTATTTAGAAAAAAATTGCGAGTGGATTTGGTGAAAGTTTTTAACTCAGTGCTGATTCCGTTACAACAGAACGAAAAGACTTTCGTGGCAACGGTGCACCTATATTTCGACGGCGTAAGACCGCGATCACATAACTCGTTTGCGGTGTCTGAAAATATCCGCCTCTATGTTATTTTTTTAAAGGAGAAAAAACTGACATCATTCCTTGAAGTTTTTGCAGAATTTTCTTCGCACAGGGAAGAAAAATCACGTCAGTTTTAAAGAGTTGCCGTTTAGTAGTTTTTCGTTTAAAATATAAAGTTTGACAGAAAGCCTGCCACGTCGCAAACCGAGTTACATGATTGCCGACTCACACTGTCGATTTAGTTTTTATGCTGACAGAAATGACGCCCAAGGTGGGTCAAAATGGATGCAAACGTTGGCCAAAATTCATCGAGCAACGGAATTACTTTTTGACTTCAGCGCTGCGTTTCTCTCATCTGATTCAAAACCCTCCTGATCTGGTCGAAAAATTCGACCAAATTCACTTGAATACATTACATTCAGTGAATGCATTACATTAGCAAGTACAAAATTGTGTACTTGCTAATGTAAGTCACTGATCGCTAATCACCCTGGTAAAAATTGGCGGTAAGAGCTGCGTTTCAAAATACCATAAGAATTCTAATAGCCGGCTAAAGAAGGCTACAGAAAATCATATAGCTGGCTGTAGAATGCGGAGAGAATCATACGGCTGGGCTATACGAAGCTATAAAAAATTGTGCAGCCGGGCTATAGTTCCTATCGCCGGGCTTTACACTTTATCGCCTAGCTGTTGCTTTTTCGCCATAGATTATAAAAGGCTATAAGAAATTGTGTAGAAATTCGTTTGCTTTGGAAATCATTAAGTATGATACGGAACCACCTTAATATTTACAAAACACACATTATATTTTCCTTTAATACATATTTTTTTTTCATCAATTAAAATGAGAATAATCCATACAGGATGTGCAAACATTTCAAAATCATGAGTTGAATAACGCTGGCTCCGCCAGATTAAATATTAGAGCCTAACACAAAGCGGAGTGGCGACGCACTGGCGCCTACAAACCTAACATGGATACTTCACGCATTGCGCGACGCGTGAAGTATCCCTGTTAGGTTTGTAGGCGCCAATGCATGTTTTGCGCTGGCTGCCCGCCTGCCACGGCGCTTGAAGCAACTATTTCACACCAGAGGTATTGCACAGTATCATACGAAACTGAAGGCGCTCTAATATATTAGTAATGGCAGGCATCCATCAAAAGTACGGAGCTTTCCTCGCAAAATAAATCAAGAAACCACGGCCCAAAAAGAGAGCAGTATTCAAAAAACTCACTGAGTCCTAGCATCCGTAATTAGTAACGTTTAGCATACACTTTATCGCCTGGCTGTTGCTTAGTCGCCATCGGCTATAAAAGGCTATAAGACATTGTGTAGCCGGCTATAGAAGCTATTGGAAATCTTACAGCTGGCTGTAGGTCTATGGTATTTTGGAACACAGATTCTACTGCCAATTTTTACCAGGGTATTTATAAATTTACTATATTCTTTAAACTGGTTGCGTTCTGGTATTTTTAATCATGTAGTTGCTTACCTTATTAGTTTGTTGATTTGTCTCTTTTAAGTTGGTGTGCCACTTGTAGTCGTAGTTATAGTGATTCACCCTTGGATACTTCTATTTATTTCCCGCCGATGATGGCGTGTAAGCCGAAAGGCCTCAGGGTAATGCAAATAAAGCAACAAAAAATGGCAGCATAATGTTTGCAAGAAATCTTCTTTTTATTATTTTTATATTTATATTTGCTGCATCTCCAAACATGTTTATATATTTTTCCATCAAGGATACAAAAATCAGCAACAATAACACTCACTGACGAAGCTTCAATATTGAATATCCTCTTACTCTCATGACTACATTCCAATTAAAACAAAGGCCTAGCAACAATTTTCGCTTAATGCTGAGTGTGTTTAAATAATGAGAAGAGTTAAATGACAGAGCTTCCTCGAAAGTTTTAATTAAAACTCTCTCCTAATTAGGACGATTAGATCCTAATTGGGAGGGAGTTTACGCCACCCCCACAGTAACGCCGTGTCTGCTGTTGCTAAAATTGTCAATCCCCAAAAGTCAAAAGAGGATTGAATTGAAATGTGATTTGTCGTCGGATCGGCACCATTTGAACAAAAAGGTCATTTGTTCTGATGAAATTGTTTTTGGGTGTTCAAACTTCAAACTTCGAACAATCCGATAACGTTGCGTGGTGTCAACGATCATTGTATCAACAAACCCAAAATCTGATCGTGGAGTTAACGATTGTTGACGTCGTGCTTACGCAGTAAAAAGTCAAAATCGGCCCTGAGCATGGTGTCAACAAACAGAGAAAACTAACTTCACAAGTACAACCAAAAAAGTAAGTCTTCAGGCGAGACCCTGTACTGTACCCTAAGCCGTGAAATAGCAAACTTTTAGCTGTCTTTACTTTCCATGAAGGGAAACTAACCAATTCCAATTCGAAAAAGTTGGCATAATTATTTTTTCATTAAAATATTAAAAAAAAACGAAAGTTTCATGCAATAATATCGAGGGCGAAAATGAAAACAGGTAACGAAAATATGATATTTACATTTTTTTACTTTAATTCTCATATTTACTCAAAATAATATCACGCGATATTCTAGCGTACAATTTTCAGATTACGTTTTTGAAAAGGCGTACAGGATACTCATAATATCATATTTTATCATTCAATAACGGTGTCTGACACGTGATAAGCGGAAAGAAATCCGAAACATATCATAAAATGAGTAATACGTTTTTTGCAGTCTTACCATACCATTCCAAGTTTGAACCATTTTTCAATGTAATACAACAAAAAGGCACACACACAAAAAAAATAAATAAAAATAAAAATAAAATAAATGCAATTAAAGAGAAAAAAGTAAAATAACATGCGCACTCTTAATTTCATTTTTTGATCATATTCCTCTTTTTTTTCTCGTTGGTCTTGTCATCGAAATGTGGCCGCAAGAATCCAACATGAATTAACAGAGCAGAGAATGCAACCATTTTCAGTATGACAGCGCTGAAATTTCATCCAGGCGATTCCGAGCCACAAATTCCTCTCTTGAAAAACCCGCAGGAGACAACAGGGATCGGACAACGTCGCCGAAAAGAGAGCTGGAGCGAGGGATGGAGGGGGAGGGGGTTGCGAGGCTGGTTGAGCATCCCTTGCGTACCTCTGGTTTAGTGTTTCCTTGACTGAGATACGCGTCGGCTGCGAGCCCCGAACTTGCTGAAATGCTCCGAGATACGATATCTCGTACATCGCACGGTTTCGTCGTGTCTCGTGTTTCCCATCGGTTTCCCGTTTACCACACATCGCCCTTTTTTTGGACTGAAAGTCATTTTTCGGCCTGAAAAGCTTTTTTTTTAATATTTTTTTTGTCTGCGGTACAGTTTTTTATGCTCACGCGGGTATCGTCCGTTCGATCGGATCTGTTTTTGTGTTGGAGTTTATTTTCGAACTCAACGTAACGCAAGGCTGTTTATTCTATACCGTGGAAATGGTATGGCTCCATTCAGATTTGTTTTACACGTAATTATATAAAGGCATCGGTCAGCTGACTGTTTGGGGATCGTTTGAGCAACTTGCCCAAAATTCTCATCATCGGCTTTCGTGTTTATTTCGATATGTCTAAGGCACTCAATAGGAGGTTAAAAGCTGGTAAAGGTGGTAAAATTTTTTGGCAATTTTCTAGGGTATTTGAATGGAAACTTATAGGCATTAGGAATTTCAAAATTATTTATTTTTCAATCGAATAAAAATTGTTCAAGCATTTGGAATACAATCGAGTAAATCCTCATAATTTGCAAGTAGAATCTGATTCCAGTTGTTGTGTTATTTAAAATCAATGAAATCTTTAAGCCCTCAATACAGATAACGATAATAGAAAAAAAAAACCCCATCAGTTGTGGCAAAATAGTTGGCTCACCAACTTTTTGACGTCTCTTTGATATTTAAACATCTATTTTAACAATTTGACTACTTGATTATCAAAGACAGTTTTGGTCAAGTGTTGTCAATGTTGCGTTCGAAACTTCCTCTTATCTAGGTTTGATTATCGCGTGACAATATCAATATTGAACTACTAAACTCTTTAAAATGATAATTGAGTTGAACTAAAAGTATATATCGACGGTGTGAGTCGGCAATCACATATCTCGTTTGCTGTGTCTGAAAATCTCCGCCTCTAGGTTATTTTTTTAAAGGAGAACAAATTGACAATATTCCTTGAAGTTTTTGCAGAGTTTTCTTTGCACAGAGAAGAAAAATCACGGCAGTCTTAAAGAATTGCCACTGAGTAGCTTTTCGTTTAAAAAAATTAAGTGTGACAGGAAGTCGGGGTCGACGTCGCAAACCGAGTTATGTGATTGCCGACTTATACCGTCGATATGCATTACTATTAATTCTAAGCGGATATTTTTAGGATCAAATTTTTCACAAATTTTTAGAAGAAATATATTTTCCTGGCAATATCTATTAAGAAGGAAAAAATTAATTAGGATCTCTCAACACAAAATTGTTTCAGTCAGGATACTTCCAGAGTCCTTCGTTATCTTACATGTGCGTCATCGCTTACAAAGCTTTTGGGTTTAAACAACCCAAACCTGAGTAAAACCTGATAAAATGAGTAAACATTATCTGATTAAGACAGACGTAAGGCGCAGGTAAACAAAAAAAAAGTCTCCTGGTGTGCAGCTAATGTAAAAAAGTGTAAATAATACACCATTCTCCTCTCGGTCAGCGCAAAACGCGTATTAGCGCCTACAAGACTGCATGGATACTTTACGCATTGCGTGCGCGCACCTTGGTGTTCATTAGATTATAGAACAAAGTCATTTCACAATATACAGCATTCACTGCCCCTTGAAACTTATTATTACATTGAAGACTCTCTAGGGAGTTTTCCGTCGAAATATCAAAATCAGATTTTATGTGATCCAACTCGGCAAAGATCGCTCTCCCTGGAACATTTTTATGCCGTATGGACTATGAGCTCTTTTTTTTCTGTGGATAATTACAAATGAACATTCCAAATGTCAAGTTTTCCTTGCATTTCTTTCGAAAAAAAAATTACTCTCGCCAAGCTTCAAAATGAAGAAGAGAGAAAAGAGAAGAGAAAGGAAAATACATAAAAAAATGCTCGCATACTGGAATCACGTACATACTATCAATTAAATAAATTAAAATTCAGTGTGCAGTTTAATGAAATTTACAACTGCTCACCTTGAAAAGCTGTGGCAATATGAACCACTCATGCTACTCAGCGAGTTATTTGCTGGTAGGTAAACAGCGATGTTTACATTCCTGCAGCATCATAATGTAATATCTAGTATGAAAGTAAAGAGCGAAGTTTCCCACGTAATCCGAGACAAAAGGAATGAGTAAATAATGAAGAAAACCTTTATTTCACTTTTTTCGGAATAAAGCCATATCCAGGTATTAATGTCAGCGAGGGATTCGCAGGAAAAGCAAATTGTCGTTGTAAAATAGGAATTCCACTCGTGATATCCTCATTGTTAATTAGAATTTCAAGAAGTAATCCCCCATTCATTTTTCAACAAATGCGAAAGGATTAAAAGAAAAAATGCGAGGTCCCTCGACTACAATGCACACCCCGTCAATCTCGTGACGTAAGGGTGTATCTCAATTTCTACGTGAACCCAGTTCTTCCAGTGGCGTGGCGTGCTGTGCGATATATCGATTGATCTGTCATTTAAACCTATGGAAAAGGATCGATGGACATGGTGTTCGCAGCGAACACCTTAATAATCGATTCTTTGCCATAGGTTTAAATGGCATAACAATCGATACATCGCAACTCGTGCAACTCTTAGCTTTCCGGGGCTCATGTGGAGATAGAGATATGCCCTTACGTCCGAGGAGCGAAGACTTGAACCGCGTAAGGGTATATTAATAGGTATACTTATATTCCTGTACATGCTTCATCAAAGTCAATAGACGATGAGATGGATCAAGGTCATCATTTCTGAACCATCAAATACAATTAATTTCCGCTCCATTTCACTTTGAAATTCTTTCCGCTGCGCTGGAAATAAACAAATGAGCGCTTGAATTGATGCGAGTGTGTTCGCGTCCGTAATTCTACTCTCTCCCTCTCTCTCCTGGTGTTTGCATTCATTACGTGACTTTTTTTAACTCAGCAATTTTGCTTTTTTACACTTTTGTAGATACTTTGGAGGAAGATATTTTTTTCTGTAGTCACCATTTAACAGACGCTTCAATATTTTTCTTCAAACATGTAATCATATACTCAATAAACTCTGAATCAATCAAGTTTTGCACGTCACAACTTCTATTTTTGCCTGAAATATTTTATGATAATCGAAGAAATTAGTTCGAATTTTCATGTACTAGGAATGGTTGGGTTTTTTTTCTCAATAGAGCACTGAAAAAAAATCTTAATTTTGCAGCCAAGATTTTTTTTTCTCGAATCAAGAATGATGCTGCTCTATTTAAGCCTTTTTTGCTTAAACCAGCCTTCTTTTCTTTCTCTTAGCCTCCTACAGCTTTTTTTTAAAGCGCTTTCACAATTTTTACAGTGCCTTAGTCCTGAGTCTATTTTAACTTTTTGCATTTTGACTTTTCACACCGTCAAAAAAATGAATCTCCCTTTCGCAGCATAAAATAAAATATGAGAGCTCGCCTATGAGTAGTTCAATGATGGTGCTAGTGCAGTGCTTTGGCGACTCAAATTAGAACTTGAAATGACGGGTCGATTTGCCACCAGGTCTCTAGCACTACTAAAATTAATTGCAAGACGTCTTGCCTTGGGGACTTAAGAGGCTAAAGAAATTCAGCCTGAATCAAGATAAAAAAAAAAAAAAACCCTTTGCTGCAAATTCGAGAATCACACAGTGGCGAAGCGTGAATGGTCAATTATCGATAATTCCGTATTTAAAGCTATGTTAACGAATCGATTACTAAGGTGTTCGGTGGGAACACCCTGTTTATTGATCCTTTTTCATAGGTTTAAATGGCAGATCAATTGATACATCGCCACCCACTGGTATCATCATGCTTGAGCCAAGCAATTTTTTGTCAGTGAATAAACATATGTCGCAGGCAATTAGCAAACGCCGGCAATTCGCAAGCGGTTCATACGTTGTTTCAATAAATCTCAATAATGTGCATCAGCATAATGCAATTTTTAAGGGGTATGGTCTTCAAAAATAGGAGCTCGGCTTGAAGCGCCTTTATTTTTTGTGATACTCTACGCTTTGTCACGATGTTAGTTTAATTGCTTGTCCGATCTCAACCCAACTAATGTCACGGAGTTCACTACATGCTCTTCTAAGTGTGCATATTTCTGTCATGTTTTTGAGGATGGATAAGTGTCTATTCCCATTATAGGTAACATAATCAGCACTCTAATCTTGTTTTTTTATTTTTGAATTTTATGATTTTCGGTGATTTATTCACCGCTGGCTTGTAAATTGCCGGCGATTGCTAATTGCCTGCGACACATATAAAAGGAATGAGAAGGAAAACCCGGCAGAAAGATTGCAACACCGTAAACTGTTATATCTTCCTTCCCTAGTTTTACCGTCAGTATATTCCTGGGAGCTTGAGCGCGAATATCTTCAAAAGTTACGTATCCGTGGCAGAGACTTTGAGTTTAGCATAGCCCGAAGGCTACCGCACGTGGGTGTTCCTGGTTATTTAAGTTGAAAGTTTGTAATTTTGCCACGCAACTGGCGCAGCTGCACGCTAATGCCATTGAAGGAGCAGTGAAAAAGCTTTTCAGAGTACATTTGAGCAGCGTATTTATTCAAATTAAGCGCGCAGATTTCCCAAATCAAATATATGCGAGACGAGCTTCCGCTTTTTGCACCGTTCCGCTCTCAAGTGGTAATCCTGTCTAAACGCACTAATGACGTTAACACTCTGCATCATCAGTCCTCGCTCAACTTCGTTTGATGCATGATTGATACGATCGAATTATGATTTCCCACCGGACTATGCCGATATTAACTCTCAATTGAAACTCCAGTCGAATATAGTCTGTTTATTAATGTTTATCATCTTAAATAAAAAGCACTGTTGCAGCTTCTGCCTCGTAATTAGCAATTAATTTTACCGCAGCTTTTTCCCCTCGGAAAAATTATCCCCTTATCGTCTCGTTGGGTGAAACTTTTTGTTCGAAAAAATCATTGAAGACTAGAATATGATTATGCTGACTAGTACTATAATGGTTCCGGAGTGGCTTTTGAATAGATCGAGTTTATAGCAAAAAAGAATCAAGCAGATTTCAACGTAACTCAGATTGTTTTGAACGATATCTTGTGCTTTGCAGAATACCCCAAATATTCGGTTTTACTTTAATTAAAGAAACCAATTTTTTTCAAAGAAAGAAACTTATCATAGAAGTCTAATTTGAATGTTTCGGTGAGAGTAAATCATTATTCTCAATAATTTAAAAAAATAAAAAAAAAATAAAAAAAAAAAAAAAAAAAAAAAAAAAAAAAAAAAAAAAAAAAAAAAAAAAAAAAAAAAAAAAAAAAAAAAAAAAAAAAAATACCTGCGATAGATGTGCGTTCTACTGAAGTTTCACAAATAAGGGCATTAGGGGCTCAAAGATCCTCAAACTGATGCAGCTGACCCGGGGTGCCTAGTTTCTGAGTTTTTTTATCCCCCCCCCCAACACACACGCAAGTTGGTGGTTTGTCAAAATGACGAAATTAATCTAATTTACGGAGGTTAATATCATATTAGAGAGAATATTAGGAAATACATACTCAGAGAGGTGTAATTTTCCATCTGTGTGCCGAATATTGAAAAGTCAAAGCAGCCCGATAAGACATCAAAATGCAGTATATTGCATGGTTAAGATGTATTATTTGTATGGCTATGTCTTGATTTGTGGTGCTGATTTGGTTTCAACAATCGGCCCGCTGGACTAACAGTTTCGATCATCAGGGAGACAGCAGCTGGAACCATCATCAGCCCAACATAGCTCCCTGCCAAACTTATCTCTGAGAGTCTTTCTTTTGTACCTCCTTTAGAACTATTCTACTCAGAGTAGGCTTATGACGGTACCACGATTAACCACCAACTGGACTGAGTTAAACAGAAAGGAACCAAGCCACATCAGCTTTTGCCAAATTTAATTGGGCTTTTTAATGTTTTACATGAGAACGGTTGGGCGGATTTTCATGCAAATTTTAGCGAATTTTCTCCATGGTATAAAGCAAATTCCTTAAAATTTTCAAAGGAGTCCGCACAAAGGTTCTCTCGTAAAAAACTAAATTGCTCAATTTAATTTGGCAATAGCTGATGTGGCTTGGTTCTTTTCTGTTGAACGCGGTCCAACTTGCATTCATCAACTGAACGCTAATTATTGAGATGGATAGACGAAGAAGACAAATGGATAATAGAGAGATCCTATCAGTTGAGACGGTTGGTTTTTATAGACTAAAGGGGAAATCGATGGATCGTGGATATCCGTTATCCAGTCTATTATGCCGTAATCACCGTAATAATTACGGTCATCCAGGATTACGTGAATTTTGCCGAAATATGTAAGGATTGCGCACACAAAAAATTAAAGGATTGTGCGAAAAGAAATGTAGGATTGTGCCAAAATCTGAGGCGTTGGAATTTAGCGAATCAGCTGATAACTGATTACGATAACCGATTGCTCCGGATAGCACCAGCGTAACGTTGCCAGATCCTAACCGCATAATATGTGCTATTAGCGCAATCCTGGACTTATTTAAAAAGGGGTCATTTTTCTATCATTTGCGCAATCTTATGGTAGCCTTCTATTTCTTTCCTCCTTTATTCATTGTAATCACCCGCTTCCACTAATAGAATCGCTCCGTTTTCCCTTCGTTCGCTTCGCTTATCAATAAAAACGGCGCGTTTAACCACCCTTATTCATTTTTTTACTCAGCCCGAAGACTCAGTGCAAATAGAGACGCAAGCTTTAATTTTACCTCAGCATGATGTGGTGGTGTATATCCAAGACAATGCCGGCCCGTAATCGCACCTCCAAAACTCCGAGGAGGTCCTAGTTCTCGATGGAGTGTGGATGAAACGCCGTGCGAACAACCATGACGAACTCTTGCGATTACCCGCTGAACCGAACGGACTGCGAGGACCTCGTGGAGCCGGAGTTCTACTCGTACAAGTACCGGGTGGTCGGCACCATCTTCCAGGGCGCCATCTTCTTGAGCGGCGTCTTCGGCAACGTCCTCGTCATCATCGTCGTGAAACGGACGCAGAGCATGCACACGCCGACCAACTACTACCTCGTGTCCCTGGCCGTCGCCGACCTGACCGTCCTCGTCTACTCGGTCCCGGTCGCCATCTCGGGGCTCTTCCTCGTGAGTGACACCTGGATCCTCGGAGACTTCGGCTGCAAGCTCTTCATATTCCTCCAGAACCTGGGCATCAACTCCTCCTCGCTGAACCTCATGGCGTTCACCGTCGAGCGCTACATCGCCATCTGCCACCCGATGATGGCCTACAAGATGTGCACCATCAACCGCGCCAAGAAGATCATCTTCGGTGTCTGGATATTCTCGATAGTTTATTGTTCGCCGTGGCTAGTGCTCACCTGGACGAGACCTTTGAACATACGCGGGTACCCGGGGGTCGGTAGGTGCGATTTTAAGTTATCCAGGGAGAAGTATCTCCTCGTGTTTTTCGCGGATATCATGATGTTTTATGTGATACCGTTGATCGTGTCGAGTATTCTCTACGTGCTCATGGGGAGGACTTTGCTCAACACTCATCGGCCGTCCAACAGCGAGCACCGGAAAAGCTCCAGTTCGTCAAGAGCGCAAGTAAGTTCTCTGAGTTGTTATCCATTCATCATTCCTCTTACAAAGGCTTCGCACTGAAAACAATTTTTCTTGCGATATTATTTCCACTCAAAGCGTCGTTTTTGGTCGACAATTTTTTTTTTTTTTTTAGTAAGGTAAATCCATGTGAATTCAACTTGACATCAGTTTTTTTGATTTAAAAAACCCTGGTAAAAATTGGCGATAGGAGCTGCGTTTCAAAATACCATCGGAGCTCTTATAGCCGACTGAAGAAGGCGATAGAAAATCATATAGCTGGCTGTAGAAAGTGAACATAAATCATACGGCCGGGCTACACGAAGCGATAAAAAATTATACAGCCGGGCTATAGCTCCTATCGCCGGGCTTTACAATTTATCGCCGGGCTTTACAATTTATCGCCCGGCTGTTGCTTTTTCGCCATCGGCTATAAAAGGCTATCAGAAATTGTGTAGAAATTTGTGTGCTTTGTAAATCCTTAAGTTCGTACGGAATCACCTTAATATTTACAAAACGCACATTATATTTTCCTTTACTACATATTTTTTTCATCAATTAAAATTAGAATTTCCATACAGAGTGTGCAAACATTTCAAAGTCATGAGTTGGAAAAGCTGACTCCACGAGATTAAATATTAGAGCCTAACACAAAGCGGAGCGGCGGCACACTGGCGCCTACAAACCTAACAGGGATTCTTCACGCATTGCGCAATGCGTGAAGTATCCCTTTTAGGTTTGAAGGCGCCAACGCATACGTTTCGCGCTGGCTGTCCGCCCGCCGCGCGGCGCCGCAGCGTACCACGGCGCTTGAAGCAACTATTTCACACCAGAGGTATTGCACAGTATCATACGAAATTGCAAGCGCTCCAACATGTTAGGAATGGCAGGCATCCTTCAAAAGTACGGAGCTTTCCTCGCAAAATAAATCAAGATACTACTGCCCAAAAAGAGAGATGTAGTCCAAAAACTCACTAAGTCCTAGCATCCGTAATTAGTAACGTTTAGCATACACTAGCATACATTTAGCGCCAGCTGTTGCTTAGTCGCCATCGGCTATAAAAGGCTATAAGAAATTGTGTTGCCGGCTATAGAAGCTATTGGAAATCTTACAGCCGGCCGTAGGTCTATTGTTTTTTGGAACACAAATTCTACTGCCAATTTTTACCAGGGAAGCGTTGTTTTGCTGACGTTAAATTTGCATAACAACGTCGCTTTAACTTAAGAAAAAAACAAACGAATTTTGTCGACAAGAAAAGACCTTTTAAGTCAGAATAATATTTCAAGAGAATTTTGTTTCAATGTTGAGGTAAAGGATAATACTAGATGTAGAGAAACTATCTCTCATGTAGGTCCAGCAACTTTCATTTTAAGAACGAGAATAGGGGCATCAGTTTTATGAAGCGAGGTAGTTTGGTCATCCTTATTATTATAACGCATGGTATCAGTTTCTGACCTTTTTTATCCGTGTCAAAAATCTAGATTCGAAACATGGATAAAATAATTTCAGAGCACCTAAAAAAAATACAGTAAATTCAAATCAACGTAGGACAATTTATCAAACGCTGAAAAACGCACCCACTAAACTCGCGTTTTATTCAAATTTTGCTAGATTCATACCAGTCTAGCGCATATTCTTGAAATTAATTTTGAGGCTGAGATTGCACTTAATGATTGAAGATCTTCCATAGTTTTTGCATAGTTCCATACACTATATTGTTTCCCTTACTTCTGTAGTCTTTATTGAGGCAAGGATTGCATTTAAGGATTGAATATCTTCCATAGTTTTTACAGTATAAAATCTCGGCACAAGCAGTCAGAATTAGAGGTATAGACCATCAATCGCAAAATGTCGCAATGAATTCCCCTTCTACGATAAGTACAGAAATAAATGCCGAAGGGGAAAAACAAGTAATTTTTCCGCGTGCTGAATAAAATATCATCAATTTTCTGACAGAAATGAAAGAATGAAATAATTATTCCTCCAAGAATAGCCCACAATCAGCTTCTGGATCCCTCTCCTCTTCCTCCACCCGTCCCATTCCCCCCTTCTCCCCCTTTGCCTTCCCCCTCCCGTCCTCCTGATTTAGACCCCCTATCCCTAAAAATTTACATCGCGCTGTCCTTGATCAAGCTCTAGCTTGAAAAGTAAAAATTGTGCGGAAAAATAGAAATACCCATAGTGCATGTGACTGACTTGTCGCTAAGACTCGCAGTTCGTCCATAATAATCTTAATACATTAATTTAGGTGCGCTTCAGGATGAATCCTATGTACACTGGTAACGCTAATTTTTAATTTCCGATAAATTCTAGACATTTTCATTATGTTTTCCTATCAAGACAGAAACATGCATACAAAATGATTTATGATCTTGTGATTTCTATGTACTTCACACTGCAAATCCGGTGGTCGATGGATGCTGTATGAGAATTTATAAATTCTGCTACGCAATCACCTAACTTGTCTACACTCCATTTGATCGGCATCGGATCTTCTCTCTTACTTTAAAATTATCCTATCACACACACACCTTATGGTTTATCCACTGAACGAAGGATCACTGTGTGACGCGTGTAGATTACCAGACGGAGAGTCCTCGTGACCCGTTATTCTGTTTTTTCATGGCATGCTCAAAAGAAATTTTAAATTATAATAATGATTCCTAAAATCATAATACACACTTACTCAAAGAGGATACGGGTTGAGAGTTCGTCCCTGAAATAGTATTTTTTTTTTTAAAATGAAGTTGAACGAATTGCAAAAAACTATACACCATCAACAATCATCACTTGAAAGTTAATCATTGCCGATGAAACAAATTACACCTCCATCTCTTACCGATCGAACGTATTTTGTCATCATCCTTTGATGAAATCATTTGAACGTTTGATCCAACGCAATGACGTAAGACCGGTGGGGTTCGTATTTTATGTGGAGTATCAGTGAAATATCAGTTTAATATCGAATGAAATCCTTCCCTTTGGTAGGATACTTTGATTTCAAGCATTTGGAAACGCAACTGAACGGGTGCAGCACAAGGTGTAACAAAGCCTGGCGAGGACCTTTCACTAGGGTGGTTTATTTGGTAAATTGAATTCAGGCGAAGTACCCAATATGAGCAGCGCATTTCACTGCGAACATCTCCCGTTGACTGCATAATGCATATGCCTTCGTCTCCCCTTTCCCCATCCACGACCCATCGCATTTACGTAGCTTAGAAGTGCTTGTATATCGCTATCAGATGAACTTGGAACTCATATCGACGGTGAAACTACCAAACCACGTATCTCGTTTGCGGTGTTTAAAAATCTACGCTCACATTTTATTTTTTTGAAGTAGACCAAATCAATATCATTCCATCAATTTTCAAGACTGGACGTTAAGTAGTTTTACATTTAAAAAATAAAGTATGACAGGAAGTTTGCGACGTCGCAAACCGAGATACGTGGTTTGGTAGTTTCACCGTCGATATGCCCCCACACATCCTCTTTGAAGAATTTTGTTAGCCATCTTTGCTCGAGGGTCATGTGACTTTGTAGCCTGAGATTGGCAATAGGAAGCAATATGTTTTTGACCAATCTACCGATAAAATAAAAGAAGATGTAATAAAGGATTCAAATTTGATCAATTTTTATGAACATCCGACGATAACTCGACCAAAATTGGACTCAAAAAGAAAGATTTGACATTCAAGCCGTGAAATCGTCCAAAACTGGATTTAGAGTTATGCTTTCTTAAACGATTAAAAAGGACTACGGAATACCAAAAAATTTGATGACGGCGAAATTTTGGAATTTTTTCTTCAGGCTCCCTGTTGAGCACAAGTTTTTAAAATATGACTTCCCACGAGTTGACGATAGCAACAATGGATCAGAAAATTGAATTTTTCAGTCTTTTTTCACGCATTTTCTCCCGGAATTTTCATAAAAAACGAGAGACTCGTGTATTTTAAAAACTTGTTGTGCTCAGGAAGCCCGAAGAAAAAATTCCGAAATTTCGCCGTCATCAAATTAGCTGGTATTCCGCAGTCCTTTTTAATCGTTTAAGAAAACATAACTCTAAATCCAGTTTTGGACAATTTCACGGCTTGAATGTCAAATCTTTCATTTTGAGTCCAATTTTGGTCGCGTTATCGTCGGATGTTCATAAAAATTGATCAAATTTGTATCCTTTTTTACATCTTCTTTTATTTTATCGGTCGATTGGTCAAAAAACATTGCTTCCTACTATGTAGTTTACGATTGATATGAAATTGGCTACCCTGGTCGAGTTTTGTTTTCCTATGATCTCATTCGCCGTTGACTGTTTCTAGATTCCGGAAATTCGATTCGCTTCAGGTTAAAACACCGGGCCGCGGGTTGGCGTGGTTCCAATCAAGCTGCGCTTTAGTTATTACGTATTTTGCTCATTGACTCAAAAGACTCGACAATATACACAACAAAATATACCAAGCCTCGTTATGACGGGCACGAAAATTATTCTCGTGATAATTTTGAGTAGGACTCCTCGAAGACGCTCAATTATTGCTAACGAAGCAAAGCTTGTTTTCCCACGACTTCCTACCATCTCCTTCTGAAGCTTTTTTATTTTACCCGCTTTTTGCACCTTGCCCCTTTAGATTGAATCCCCCTCTCTCATTCCTGATGCGTGTATTTTTCTTTTCTTTCTGCTGAGAAATATCAACTTTCTTGGGAAAAAGCCCTCCTAAGGCTCTTTCCACTTTACGTAACAATTATGCCCTTCATTAGCTCAGAATAATACGGCGTTTTCTCAGGAAGCCTTTCCTTTTTCCTAGGCTGATTTGAAATATTGACCTTGCTGTGTAAATACGTTCATTCTGCTTATGTCCTTGTTTTGCTGCGTTTGGCCCTTTGACTCTCAAAAGGTATCAGGAAATAAGAGTGTTCGAAAGCTGCAGTTATGAAGAAAAGCAACTTCGTAAGGATTTTGTATTTTCATTCTTAGTATTGAGTTGTTGACAGTTCTTATTATTTTAAGTCAAAC